GCCGTCAAATTTCTGATGTGTAACGCTCGGGTGAACTCGGCTGGAGTCGAGTAACTGAAGTGTTTTTGCATATGGATTAAAATATCTCAAATACTAAAAATCGGAGCTGGATACTGTAAGCGAGGGAATCGTTGAGCATTTCATCCTCTCTGTAATGGGCTATTATTCAAAATTTTACCTTAAAGCGACCGTAAGGGGGAAATATTGTCAACAACTAAATTATAGTAATGAAAATGAAATGAAATGAAAATAGATTTTTATTATCCTGGGACTTTTGTCTCTTTAGGACAAATTATAGATACAGAGGAAATGCCTGTGTGGCCATAAAATTAAATTAAATATTTACAATGCTCATTAAAATAAAAATATTGGAAGAAAAATAAAACAGAATCAAAAACAATAAATACATACAGATATATATACAAACATGTGAAAATAAAATAACATAATAAACAAAATCATTTCTGGGGAACTTAAAAAGTTCTCTTATCTACTTTCATGATCAATCGGGTTGGGAAAGAAGTAGGTGCTTAAAAAGGAGAGATTTAAATGAGGAAACTGATTGCGCATGTCGGATATCGGGAGGGATGGTATTCCAGATGGAGACGGCTTGAATTATAAAGGATTTGTCAAACGCAGCAGTTCGGTGAGGAGGTGGATAGAGGTCAGAAGTACGGGATCTAGTGGGACGGGATTGAATGGAATATTTAAATTGTAGGCTGTGAAAAATATAGGAAGGTCGCTGAGTTCTGATGGCTTGGTATAGAAAGGTAGCAAGGAAGTACAGACGGCGGTTGGATGGATAGAGCCACTTCAACTTGGTGTAATACTGGGTTATATGCGTATCTCTTGAGATTCCGAAAACAAAACGTATTGCGCAGTTCATCAGGCGTTTAATATTGGCCTCGAATTTTCAATGAATTTCCATAGTATTGAGTTTTATCGAAGATATGTATTAAAATATCTCAGAAACTAAAAATTTAACCTGCATACTGTGAGCAAAGGAATTGTTCAGGATCACATCCTCTCTTTAATGAGTTATTGTTCAAAATTGTATCTTAACGCGATGCCGTGTTACATAGACGAAAAGTGGAAAATAGTGTCGAGAACAAAATTATAGTAAATCGTTTTATCCGAGATATGGATTAAAATATTTAAGAAACTAAAAATCGAACCTGCATATTTTAATCGAGGGAAATTTTTAGCATTTCCTCCTCTTTATAATGAGCTATTATTTATAATTTATCTTTTATATTATTAATCTCGCCTTGATTTTTTCAGTTCTGTCGTGTTGTCTAAAGCACATACCTTAGTTGTTTTTGTTTTTTATTTCGAGAAAATCATTTGTCTAGACCAAGTTCAGGAATAATTTCTCGCTTACGGAAAATAGAAACTTGAAAGTACTAAAACGCTGTTTAAACCTAATCATAGATCTAGAACCACATCAAAGGGCCGGAAAGCTAATTTTCGACCTAAGAGACGTGATAAAAGCTAAAATTATGGAAAACACGAGAAGCATTAGCGTTAGCCGAGACTGCAAGGTTGTGCCAAGGGCGCCTCTCTTACCGTCGGGGATTTAATTATTAAATGTTTCCCTCCCTAACTGGAAGCTACCCACCCACCGCCGGGTCCTCAGGGATCTTACCTTTCCCTTCAAATTTAGCTCAATAAATCCAGACCCTACGCACTTATATATGGAAATTTGTGAAAGGCCTAATCCTTCGGCCATAATTATTTAACTAAGACCATAACTATTTTAATTTCCTTTTTTTTTTTAAATCTCAACTCGTATTGGTCTGTTATGTTGTAACTACATCCTTTAAGGATATTGTTTCATAGAAAAAAAAAAAAAAAAAAACCTGTACCACTACAACCCATGGAGGGTGAAGGGCCTTTGGGTGCAGTGCTATGTGAGGAAGTAAGTATTGTTTTAAGGCCAAGGGTTGTGCAGGGAGGTGATGGTTCCGATATCACGCTCAACCGCCAGGTTTTCCCTCTTAATTATTTTTTATAATTAAGATCACCCACTTTATAGAGACTGGGATGCCCCAGGAGGGTCTCCAGATCCCAAGGTCGATCCACGGCTAATGAAAACTTACTAGACATTAGCCGGATTCGAACCCAGGAACTTGAGCTCTGGAAGTCAGTGCTCACCCACTCAGATACCCCGCTCCCTATTGTTTTATATATCGGACACAATTAAAAAATAACTAGTCAAGTATCATGGAACGTGTTGCCGATTATTATCTATTCTAGGTTTTCTTGATATTTATTTACATTGTGAGCAGGAGATCTCTAGTCCAATGCCTCTATAGTCTTCGTTGAGGGTCGGTCACCAGTTAACCGAGAGGAAGAAAGAGAACGAACTAGTAGACTTGGATGATAGAGAGTAGAAGGGTGGAATGCTGTTTGTTAGTTATGTATGTAGGATTTTACTTTTGGTATGCTCATGTCGTTGTGTATGATATGATTTGAAATAAACAATGGAGTATTTACGATTTTACGAAGTATTTTGGATTTTGGACGTGATTTGCGAAACTCCAAACTTCTGTTTCGTATGGTGGTGTAGATTAGTCCCATGTTTTGTAAGTTGGATGGAGATCTGTAGTCCAAAATGAGTGGCAATTTTTCGTATCGTCTGATGAGTTTTATTTTTTTATTTGGTGTGTAAGTTCCAGGTGAGTTTTCTGTCCAAGTAGTGTCCTAGATACCGTATAGTTTTTTTGAAACAACTAATTTGTTTTGAAAAACATTTTTTATTTAAAATATACTAAAGGGTAAAACAAATACTTGATCCTTACAAAACATCTCAAACAAATACTTGATTTGGGTGGAATACATAAATAAGTTGTATTTTAGTAGTTATTTTCCGCAGTCAGATAGAATAAATAACAATAAATTAATCAACAATAACTCTGGATTTAGTAACCCGTCTTATAAGTCTCGGGTACATGCAGTTGCATTTAAAAAAATAAAAATAAATAAGGTTCAGCTTGATAAAAGAATAAATAATAAAACTGCGTTAAATTGTAAAACAATTTGAAGTGTATTTTACACTAATTTATTTTGAGTGCATAATATGGTAACGATAGCTATAATGAATTTTACATTAATCCTCATATGATTATTCTATATTTCATACCGTCTTCTGAATTTTTCTTTCTTTTTCCCTCCCTCTGCTTGTCTTAGCTAAATTCAATGCCTGCGAAATTTCATATTATCATTTAGTGATTGTTTTTTCTTAATCTTATCCCTCCTAATAATTATACCTTATTATAAGTTTAAAATCTTCAAAAAAGTTAACAATAAATTATAACTTAATACCTTTTATGCATATTATTTATTACATTAATTCAGAACGAAGGAATCTCTCAAATTATGCAATCTCAAATCTACCAAATTCGATTATCCGGATCGGATAAAGCGTGCCATGTATCATAGCGTGGAAGACAACAGCTAACCCTTAAGACAACAACTGACCCCGATCGACCTCATTAAAGTCTTGTGCAGAGTCTAATAGCATCTCTAAACTTGGACAGCTGCCAGCAGATTGCGTTATCTTAATTGGCATTTTATTAATTATAACATTTATTAATTATTTATTTTTTAGTTAACAACGAAACTATGAATGTTTTTTTTTCTTAATTTAGTACATTTTGTATTCATTTATTAAATAATTAAATAAACTTATATTACACTCGAATCAGGCAACTTACATAGTCAGTGCTGATTTTTTTTTTAGAAACTATTTCAACTTTTAATTTAATTTAATTAACATTTGTTCGGTCATTGTGTTTCGAAATTATTTTAATAAATTACTAGGCAAATATACATAACTCTTAAATTTTGACCAATATTTTACCGCTTCACTGTTTGATTTGATTATTGCACGAATATTAGTTATACTACCCTATCAGGAATATTGCTTGCGGCTATTCTCAGATTTCTGAAAGTAAATGTTTGACTTAACAAACAAAATTAATTACAAAGTCACTTTCAATATCATTACATAAATAGGCAAAGACAAAACAGTTTAGTCCCTTTTTCTCCTCTGTTAACGACCTTTACTATTATCAATAAAAAAATATCAGAAACATTGAAAATAAATAAAAATGTAAACGTGAGTTTCTTCAAATCGCGAATCTCCGAATTTACTTCTTCATTGCTTTCATTTTCGATACAACGTTGCAGTCAAATTCAGAATTGTTTTTATATATATTTCATTACCATGCCCCCTTTCGCTTCTAATGGGCAATTCACCTTAAAATATTTCTAAGATCGATTTTCACGGAAAGTGTAGAATCTACTCAAACCGTAAATTCCTTTTGTGTGTACAAAAACTTTGAAAAAGGGAATAAAAATAATTTGTTTATATTTTGTATTTTAAAAAGGAAATAATGTTAGAAATGTAATATTTTATATTTTATTTTTTAAATTGCAATATACAAAAAATGTATTTTATTTGTTTAAATTTTGACTCCATTTGCGCCTGTGAAGATACGATTGATAGTGACTTTATTTCAGCTATTAATGAAGGACCTGGCTTCTTGGCCGTTTCTTTTCCAATTTGCGTTGAGCAGGGAACAAGGAGGAGGATATTAAAAGAATTAATGGATTGAGGAGATTTAAAGTTGAAGATTACAATATATTGTGTTTATCACGGATGTAAAATTTTAATATTGAAAGGTTTACGTCGTTATATATAATATTATTTGAAATGTACAGTTCGTCGAATTTTTTATTGTTTTGTTTGTATTTTGTTTATGTGTGTTTGTTTTGCAAAACCTTTAAGTTAAGTTAACCTTTAATCCCCGTCTCAATATAATGTTGTATATTAGCCCCTTGTAACGTATGTTCGGAGGAAATCTGTAGTCCAGAGATCCAATAATAATTGTTTTCTATTTTATTCGTATTATATTATTTTAACTAATTTAATTTTTTGTTATTTCAGTATGTTTTTTTTTTTTTTTAGAGGCCTTATTATTTTAATGTATTTTCAGTTTCTATATTGGCACTTCTGTTTGGAATTACGATGGGATGGACATCCCCTGTCCAAAGCCTGCTGCAGAGCGACAGAAGCCCCATCGGAAGACTGACCGACGAAGAGTTTTCTTGGCTGGCCTCGTTGACCCTCGTGGGTGGTCTGACAGGTCCCTTCCTCTGGAGCAGACTGGCCGACAAGCTGGGCCGAAAGGGAGGCTGCTACCTGGCGGCCGCATGCTACCTGCTCGGCTGGGGGCTGACCGCACTCACGGCTCGCCACGGCCTCCTCCTCGCCGCACGGTTCCTCAACGGCCTCGCCGGGTCGGGAGGGCTCATCATCGGTCCGGCCTACATCAGCGAGACTGCGCAGTCCGCCATCCGCGGCGCTCTCGGCTCCGTGGTCATGCTCTCCTTGAACGCCGGAGTCCTCTTCTCGTACACCCTCGGCGCCATACTCTCCTACCAAGCTTTCAATCTCCTCTGCACAGCCATTCCAGTCATATTCTTTCTATTATTCTTATGGATGCCTGAATCTCCAGAATATCTTTGGAATAAGAAAGAGATCAAAGCTGCAGAAGCTTCTCTTCTCTGGTTGCGTGATGATAACGAAAAATGTGTTCAAGAGGAAATGGACAGTTTGGCACGCTATGCGAGCGATCAAGGCGGTGCCAGTGCCTCAGCGTTGGTAAGCACCAGGGGCCGAAGGAAGGCGATGATCATCGGCCTCGGACTGTTCAGTTGGCAGCAGTTCAGCGGCGTGGTGCCCATCCTCGCCTACACCGCTTTCATCTTCGATAAATCCGGCAGTTCCATCGCACCGGAAAGAGCTGCCATTATCGTCGGTGTCATACAACTCATGGCATCCTTTGTTAGTTCCTTCATTGTGGACCGCTGTGGCAGGAGACTTCTCCTTTTTATATCTTATGTATTCATGGGATTGGCATTGCTGACATTAGGAACGTATTTCTATTTAGAAAGTGTCAATACTGATGTTTCATCCTTCAGATGGATTCCTGTCTTATGCTTGTCAGTTCATGTACTCAACTACGGTCTGGGTGCTGGGCCGATACCTTACATCGTTACATCGGAGACTCTACCGATCGATATTAAGGGTCTAGCTGTTTCAGTAGTTATTTGGTGGGGTACGTTTCTTGCATTTTTGAATGTAAAATTCTTTCCTGTTTTTATAGATAAAGTTGGCCTGAGTGAGTGTTTATTTTCTTACGGCATCTTGAGTGTGGCTGGTTGCCTGTTTGTTTGGAGCGCGGTTCCTGAAACCAAGGGGATCCCTCTTCATGATATACTTCTTCGGCTTAATCGTGGTTCAAAGGTCGAAGTGTGATTAATGGCTTTACCCTTACCTTTAATATAAGCTGACATAGTATGATTACATCAATGGTAGGAGATAATTCCATGGCTTATTCGATAAAAAAAACAACCATTCCATTAAAATATCACTGGAATTTCACCTAGATAAAAGAATCCATCTAATGGTTGCAACTTTAGCAGTGATTCCATACTGAAGCTAATATCTTCAGAGCTTCTTTGAATCACGCCAATGATGGTCAAAGATGAGATGGAAGGGACAAACAGAAATATATAATGAGCTGTTGGATCAGCATAAAACGTTACCATATCTTTATCACAATAGTAATTGAGATTTAGTTTTTTAGCCGTAATCTTAAATTAGGGCTATGATATAAAACGGTCAATCTTTCCTCAATAGTGATTTAATTATTTCAGATTTGTTAGTATTTAATTAATTTACAACTAAATGTATATTACTTCTATTCATAGTTATACTTAACAAACACAGATAATTATTACTTGAAATAATACATTTCGTCAAGTTTGTATATATATATATATATATCTGTCTAAGATATTTTATTATAAAGCAAAATATGATACTCAGTAGATATGATGATTAATTAGTATTTAGTTGTTTTTACGACGCTTAAAGAAGTAAATAATTTCTTTTAAAATCATTTTGTTCCTTTAAATCAACGTTATCTAGTCACATAAGGGCATGAGGCCGTGATGGTCGAGAGTGTCGAGTCTTCACCTTAGCAAATGGTGCTGAAATGTTCGTTATATCTGTAAAATAATCTTCCCTCATGCCTGAAAAGGTAAGGCAGGTGGTAATAGATAGAGAGAGGGCATAAAAGGGCTGGAGATTGTAAATACACTAATAATTATGTTATATGTATATAAAGTACACTACTTTTAATTATATTTCTGTAAAAAAATATTTGATATAATATTACAGATTTATTGTATTTTTTACAGTATAATTAAAACTAGGTAGAAAAACTACTGGTCCTAGATGTGTCAATAATGATCATCGATATTTTTAATTACAGTATTGGTAATTACTGCTTGTATTAGTAACATATATTAAAATGTATTTCTTAATTTCAGGGGTTGAAAGTTATTTTATTTTACAAATGAGCTCAACTTTAACAGTTTGAAAATAAAAAAGTGTTATCAATAAGAGGTTAAAAGTAGAATATTTTACAAAACTGTTTTTTATTATTATTATTATTATTATTAATAATTTTTATTTATTGAAAATATTACAATCTGTCCCAAGGACATTTATAAAAGTGTTCAGAGATCACATTCATACTATATGTACAATAACTTGATTCTTCAACTCACACCTGTCAGAAGTTCCGACAATCAGCGAGTGTGATGTCAAGATGAAGAGATTGGTCTTGGAATAGGCGTGAGGGAGAGGAGTACCCAGCGGCGTCCTTCCTGTCTTGAGCGTAATATTTCTAGTTAGTGGAGGAGATCCCTCATCCAGCTTCTTTTAAGCCTCCTTCGGGTGCTATCGGGCATGTTAGTTGTGGCCATGCCTCGAATCAATGAGTTTGTATGTCCGTGTAAGTTATTATGAATCGTTTGTAGTATGTTCGTATGTGGTCGTTAACTGTTGGCATCTGTAAGTCTTTATGTAGAGTAATGTTACTGACGTACCAGGGAGCTTTGGTAATAGTCCTGAAAGTTTTAGATTGAAAAGTCTGTAATTTACGTATGTGAGTCTTTTTGGCTGTCCCATATATCTGTAAAGCGTAGGTCCAAATAGGCTTGAGTAGGTAAGTATATGTATTCAATTTCTGTCTAAGTTTTAATTTCGAATTTCTTGCAAGGAGTGAGTACAATAGGCGTAGTCTTAGGTTTAAAGTTTTTGTTTTGTTTTTGATATGTTGGCCCCATGTCATTCTTCTGTCAAAGGTCAGTCCAAGATATTGAACTTTGTCTGTCTGAGGAATTTGGATATTGTCAAGGTAAATAGGGGGGCAAGTTTCACGTCGAAGGGTAAAAGTGATATGTTGTGATTTGTCAAGGTTGAGTCGAATTTTCCAGAGTTTGCACCAGTCGTAGAAATTGTTTAGGTGATATTGTAAAGTCTGTGAGGCGTATGCTGAATTTTGATGTCTTGTCAAGATTGTTGTATCGTCTGCGTAAGTCGCGGTCAGAGTATAGAGAGGATCTGGAATATCATATGTGTAAATAATATACAACAGAGGAGCGAGTACTGACCCCTGAGGCACCCCTGCTAGGGCTGGTTTAATGGTAGATAGTTCTGTACCTTGGCAAACAGAGAAAAATCTGTCAGAAAGAAAAGATTGAAGAATAAGATAGTAGGTTGGAGGGAGTATAGTCTTAAGTTTGAAAAGAAGTCCCTGATGCCAGACTCTATCGAACGCTTGAGCAACATCCAGAAATACTCCTGTTGCATATAATTTGTGCTCTAGTGCTGTCGCAATGTAGTCTGTCACTCGGTGTAGCTGATGAATGGTTGAGTGGTGTGAACGAAATCCAAACTGATGTTCAGGTATTATGTTTTCAGTAGTCAGTATGTCAAGAAGTCGTTTGTAGAGAAGTTTCTCAAAGATTTTAGAGCATAATGGGAGCAAGCTGATGGGTCTGTATGATGAAGGAAAGTCAGTGTTTTTGTTAGGTTTGTGAATCATTTTTATGAATGAGTATTTCCATTGTAAGGGGAATTTAGTCGTTCTGAGTATTGCGTTATAAATTGATGTTAGGTATACTAGAGCTTTCCTTGGCATTTTCTGGAGCACTTGAGCATTTATCAGGTCATGACCGGGAGCTTTCTTTTTAGGTAACTGTCTGATTTGTTCTGCAACTTGAGTGGGAGTGAAGCAAAGTGGAGGTAATGACAGTTGTAAAGGAATGTCTAAAGTGTTTTGTACATGTCTTTCGTGATCAGTATTAGAGAAGTCAGTATGTGGTATGAAAACAGAAGAAAGATGGTTGGCAAAGAGCTCAGATTTTTCAAGGTCTGACACAGCCCAGGAACCATCTACGTTTCGGAGTGGTGATGACACCTCACAATGCTTTACAAGTTTCTTAGTCTGTCTCCATAAGCTTCCATCGTCAGTCGAAAGATTTTTGAGGTAATTGTCGTAGTTCGTTCTTTTAAAATTCTGAATCTGTCGTTTAAGTTCATTGTTAAGTCTATTGAAAGTCCGTTTGTCAGATGGAAGTCGACCAGTCTGCCACACTTTGCGCGCTCTTCTCTTTGCTCTGATCAGGTCTCTAATGTACTGCGGATAGATTGGAAGAGACGTATTTCTGCTAGGTCTTGGTACAGATGATGACCATACAGCCTGTTGTAAGCTGATTGTGAACTTATCAACAGCTTTTTCGAGTTCCTCTTCGGTCTTAAGGGACATTGGGATTGATAGCGTCGAATTTAAGTAGTCGCTGTAAGCTTTCCAATCGATTATCCTATCTGTAAGTGTTGGTTTTTTTGATGCAGTACGAGGCTCATCGCATAGTACCAAACTGAGAAGAGAATGATCAGAACAAAGATCAGAGCTTGCAGTTACAGTATACGGCACTGTCCTGAGTCCTTTAGTAATGAAAAAGTCAAGTAAATCTGGTGTTTTCTGTCTTGAAGTTGGCCAGTAAGTAGGTGTATCAGGTGAGATCGTGTTTAATGAAAGCTGATCGATGGCAGACTTTAGATTTCTTCCTCTAGGAGTACAGAGTCGTGATCCCCAGGACTGATGTTTGGCATTATAATCACCACCTGCAATAAAACACCGACCGAGATGTTGGAAAAAATTGTAAAACATTGCAGATGTTAGCACGTATCTCGGAGGGCAGTACACTGCAGCGAAGGTAATGGTATGGTGCTGGGTATACAGAGTAATTGCTGTGGATTGTATGTCAGGTGTAATGGGTAATTGTAAAGGGTTGTGTTTTAGTGATTGCTTAATCAGTATTGCCGTACCGCCATGTGCCGTCTTATCAGGGTGGTCAGTTCTATATATTTTGTAGCCTGGAATGTAAAATTTAGAATGTGGAGTCAAGTGTGTTTCAGTGATGAGAGCAATGTCAGTCCGTTTTTCATGTATGTACATGTCAAGTTCAGTCCTGTGTTGGTTTATACCATTTGCGTTCCAGAGAAGAACGGACATGGAGCCCACTGTCAGCCGATTAGTAGCCATAACTGGAGGATAAGGCTTGTGCAACGTGAGACAGTTCTTGGAGAAGGCTGAAAAGAGGCTGGATGAGGTTATTCAATCCACTTACCAAGTTGAAGAGCTGAGCTGAAGCCGGGTGATTGTAAGTCGGTAGTGGCGGTTGAGTAATGCCCTTTTTCATTTCTGGATGCTTTGGCTGGTGAAGGTGATTTTCTGGGACTTCTGTAGGAGAAGTTCGCAGTTTTGGTCCTAGATATTGAGAATCGGGTTTTGAAGAACCTGAATTTGCGGTATGCTGACTTTGCGGAAGAGAAGGAAACTCGTCTATACCTGGGGGTGCGCTAGTTTGTGCTTTTTGGGGACTTTGTATATTTTTACGGAGATTGCGTACTTCCCTCAGTTGTTTTAGAGTTGCACAACCTCTATAATTTGCTGGATGGGATCCGCTACAATTCGCGCATGTTGCTGCGGTCTCTCTTGTCTTTGTGCAGACGGTGCTATCATGTCCTTGGCCACATCTCACGCACTTCGGGGAGTGATTGCAGTAAGCCTTTGTGTGGCCATACTGCTGACAACGGGTGCACTGTGGAATCATTCTTTTCTTTCTTGGCTCTTCGATTTTCACTCTAGTATAGTATAAAAATTTGATATCAAAAATTTTTTCATTAAATGTGGCTTTAGAGATATCGATAAAGAACATGGGAAGTGGATTTTTGTATCTGGAAATAACGTTCACAATACTTGTGGCATCGTAGCCTAGGCATTTTAATTCGTATTTTATGGTTTCAATTGGAGTAGCATGGTGTAAGTTTTTTAATACGATTCTTGGATTTCTATCTTCTATTAACTGATAGGTATGGAAATCGGCACCTACCTGTCTTAAGTTAGCTACTATACGTCTATATGTGTCAGAGTTTTCAGGATATACGGTTACTCCTCTTGATGTGGATTTTAGGTTAAAGCTGTTCAAACCTCCTACATTTTGGAGAAATGTGACCAGTTCGGTGTAGTTCTGTACATCATTCAAGTGGATAGGGGGCGGTTTTACAGAAACTGGTTGCTTAGTGGTAGCATCAGACTCGTCACTAATGTTAGTTAAAACTTCAAAACTATTAGTGGTTACTGTTGTAACTTCACTTACCTTTTTAGCTTTTCTTGGGTCTCTGTTATTGTCCATTGAGCGTTTTCTTCCTGTAACGAGTTCCCAATTATTTTCAGTAGTTTGGTTTGAGTTTAAAGCGTCCACATTTTCTGTAGAACTGGCAGATATCGACGTCTCAGGCATCGTTTGCGGTGAAACCGCTACACCGAGGTGTGGAGTTCCTATTTCTTGGAGCTAATTGGTTTCAACAACAGAATGCAACAAAAAGAAAAGTTTTCACTGTTAATTTACTCTAAGATTTTGTCAAAAAGATTTTCAAAGAAAAATTAACCTCACTTTTTTTGATGAATAAAATAAATACAAAACTGTTTAATAAAAGTTCTAGCTTAAATGTTTTTGTATAAGTGTCATTTCCTACATACAGTTGTCAAGATAATTTCAAGACCTACAACGTAGGTCGAAGAATTGAAAAATAAAATATTATTATATGATAAAGTATTATATATCGACCGATTTAGTATTTTTGAATTAACATAGTACATAATATGTTGATACCTTGTGAATATTTGCTTTGTTAGCAATGTATATAAAAATTATTATAATGTTTTATACAGCTACGTACATATAATGATGATTATATTTTCTGTTAATAAAAACGTAAAAGCATATTGTTTTTTTGTTTTGTTTTTTTTCATTAAAACCTCTTCAAGTTAATGGTTTATAAAAACTGTTACATATTAACTTTTATCATTGAGGTTTGAAAATAAAAGTTAAGAAAATAACTGCTTTGAAATCGGATGTATCAATAAATGTAGTTCAACAAAAACTTTCATACATCTACATATATAGGTAAAAGTTATATTTTGCTCTTAATTATAAGAGATAGCTGTTTCATTGAACTCCTGCTTAAATCATAAATATTTTTGTTACATTTTTCTTCACAATTTATTAAAAATTATTCAATAAAATATTGTTATTATAACATTGTTTCGTGATTTGTATATGTTACAAAACTAATGTACAATAAGAAATTCCTAATAACCTTAAACTCAAAATAGATAACGGAAGTGTAAAATATGTTTCTTATTAATTAATTTTTATTTTTTTATATGTTTCAGACTATTCAGATTTTTGTGTGCCATTAACATAAATCTTAATTTTGTCAATGTATAATTTATATTTATGGAAGGGTATTACGAAATTAGTTTACAGGGTGTTTCACATGCTAATATCTATAGCCTATTAGCAATAATTCTATGTTATCATTTATTCAATGTTTTTTTTCCATTTTTATATCATTTCCTGATTTTTTTCTCCTTATCTAATCTTTTGTTCTTACCATACGTTATTGTTTTATTAGTACGGAAAAAATAAATTACCGTTGTCCTTATTTTATATATATATATATATGTCATAAATATTCTAATATTATAACTTTCAAAATTCTACCGCAAGCGACCCTTACACCATCATTCGTGAATGAACGTCACAAGAATGGCAAAGATTGCTCGGGATTGCTTTGATCATGAAGACCCTTACACGTCCAATCATTACTGATCATTACTTATCATTACAATTTAGCTTAGTTGTAAACATAGAAACAGCACAGATAAGCTTATTGGACATTGTCCTATCTAGTAATATACATCAAGAGAAAAATCGTGATATAATAATTACTTCTAGTGCCTGAATATCGTTTAGACCAAAGTTAGAAAAATATAAGTTAACTATTTACAAAAATTTAGGAAAATTATTGCGAAAATAATCAATTTGTTAAGAAAAATGAAAAAAAATCAATGAAAAATAAACACAACATTCAAAGATTTTTTTTCTAAAAGTAAATTGAGAAGTTTCCATTTCTTTTTTTTTTCCAATTTATTGCCCACTTGACTATTTAAAGAAAAAATAGTTGAAAATGGTTTACAAAACTATAAACTAGGGATATAGACAACTATTTACTTTAATGAAATCATTTACTTAAAAATGAGGCCTAGGTAAACTAACCTATCTAGTAGTAAGGTTAGTCTCATAGAAAGTCGTTTTGACAAAAGTTAGTAAAATATAAGTCTACTACTTACAAAAATTAAGGAAAGACATTGCAAAAATAATAAATTTGTTGAGGAAAATGGGAAAAAAACTGACAAATATATACAACAGTTATAGATTAATTTTTTTCTTGAAGTAAATTGTGAAGTTTCCACTTTTTTGTTTTAATTTGTTGCCCACTTGACTATTTAAAAGAAATAGTTGAAGATGGTTTATAAAATATAGACAAGGGATATGAAGAACTATTTAACTATTTACTTTTAATGGAAATCAGCAATTTATAATGGTTTTGAGGACTAGGTAAACTAACCTATCCAGTAGTATGGTTAGTCTCCCCACTACTTTTACCTCAGTCCCCCCTCCACTTCTCGTGAATGAACCTTTGATTTCCGGATGTTCGGAAATCCGCCAGACACCTCCATCAGTACTTCATTCACTACCTTACACGATAATTCGGAACGTCATTAGTGCCTCGGAAAGCAATTCCGAATGACCCTGTATGGTCCCCAATATAAAATAGTTTTCATTCCTTAATAATAAAAAAATATTATGATGAAATATTTTAAGGAATTAATTCCTTTTAAACAGTAGTTGTCATTCAATCATCATCACCATATTAAATATGGTTTCCAATTCTTGAAGGACTTTGGAGGTTTATCGTATATAAAACATATCCACTAAAAAATAGGATTTCTGGGTTGAACTCATTTAGTTAATTTAGGATAGGTATTAGGTTTTGGATGTCAGGTAAATAAAATATTTTATCTTGAAACAAATAAAGATATTTATCTCACGAACCTTTTCCGTGCCTGCGATCGGCTTTTTCTACCCAGTTTATTGTCTTTTCGAGTTGAGCCCTCTTGAAGTCGTAAAATGTTTGGTTGAAAGGTTCTAAGATATATAAACCAACACTATAAAACGTTTTATTTGCCTTGGCTTATCTCCGACAAATATTTTTTGAAATAATAAAATATATTTATTTCTTTTATATAGCTGTTTATATAGAATAACACCAAAATATGTTCTAACTGTGAATTATTATTAAATATTTAGAATGAAGGAACTGCAAGAGTATATAAATTTTTTCAAAATAAATTTTAAATATTGTGTTTTTTATTTATTCATCCCTTGTTGAACATCCTATGTATCTATGCCAAGTTTATTTGCTAAGACACCATTATCACGATACAATAATTGTATCGAGTAATTATTACTCTATACCACCTTCATACTTCAATACTAAATATAAATGATTTATGGTAAGTAGTATTTACTTTCGGATACGAACTATGTTCTATATTCTCAATAATCATTTACCAAGTCGAAACAATTTATGTACGATAAGAACATTGTAGAGTCTAGTACAAGGATAAAACGTTGGTTCCTGTTACTTTTTTTATTTATTTGTACTCGCCTCTATCATAGAGGGTCATTGGCGGTAATTCTAAATTTTTATATACTGCTGTAATAATTTGTTTCCATTAAGTATTGGAAGAAAATGATGACATGTTCCTCCCTGTGTCGCAAAATATCTTTCAATGTCGTTGAAAACTTTAATTTTTGTCTCTTTTTGGCAGGTGCTTTTCTGGTAGAATATAATCTGCGACGTTTCAGAGCCCCATGAATTTATAAAAATGATTATCAATATTTCAAAGTATAAAAAGAAAAGGAAGAAATCTATAAGAAATGCATACCGTACCTACAGAAGAACTGTGGAGAGGAATTTGATGAAAGAGGATGTTCGGTTCGGGGACTATGTTTCCGAAGTAGATGAGCGAATCCACCTTCAACTGCTGATTTTTTGGAAGATATGAGTGTAGAAAGGATCTATCTGCAGAGTATGGTAGAATCTATTATCCCACACTAATTAAAAATTCCTGCACCATTTGTGTACTTTTGTAATGTTGACAAAAGTTAGAAGGAAGAAAATGAGAAGAAATGAACAAATTATAACATTGGGTACGTTGGATGATGGTTCCGTGATACTTTATCCTGTATGATCTCTTTTATTAAATATTATGAATGATCAGTAAGGTGAGTGATTTAGCGACTCAAGTGTGAGCAGCAATTTTATTGATATTTGACCAGCAGTATACATTTGATCTCCTGATTATTCATAATTTATTAAATATGTTAAATTTAATTATTTAATCCTTAAACTTAGCAGTGCAAGTACATCTCATATTAATATGAGGGGACAAAGTTGAAAGACGTACCTAGGTTGATGATGGAAGGGACTGATATTTGCCGAGAGCTGGAAGGCCCATGACCCGAAAGGAAGAGACGTAATGTTGACATGAGGCTAACGAGAAGAGCTTGTTTGGCCCCGCTGAGCCAATTACAGTTTTCCCACTCCACCCCTCCCAGATTGTCCATTTTATTCGCCTTTCTATTCCATGAAACCAAAAAAAAAAAAAAGATTGATTAAATCCTATAGTAGCCAATTATTACACAGATAAACAAAAGATGTAAAACATTCAATGTGCCAGTGCATGCGATAATATATTTAAATATGCAGTTGAAATTCTGTATATGTTATTCATTATATTAAAAATTTCAATATATCAAATTTTTGTACATATATTGAATTTTTATTAGAAAAATATGCTATATATGTATGTAATTAAAAACCCATAATTTCAAGATTTTTTTTCCAAAAACTACTCTTGTAACTCTTTATTTATTAATAAAAAAATAAATAAAAAATCTGTACCACTATAACCCATAAAAGGGCTCCTAAGATACAGTACTTTGTTAGGAAGTACTATTTCAAGGCCACGGTTATGCAAGGAGGTGATCACGACCAACCTCTAGGTTTTCCTCCTTAATTAATTAACAGAACCCACTTTATTTAGGCTGGCTGTGCCCCAGAAGGGTATTTCGATCCCCATTTATGGCTAATGAAAAATTACACATCATCTGACGGATTCGAACCCGGGAGCTTAGCGGTCCGGCGCCCAACTCCCCGAACTACTCTGCTCCCTGATTTGTTAATTATATGTTTGTAATTTTCACAGTATAGCTCAAGTGAGTATGAGAAGGAGACTAAAAAGGCACTGGATGAGAGATCTATATTTAACAACGAGGTAATTGAACCAACTCAGAGAAAGTTATCTTATTAATAAAGGCCTGCTATGAGATAATAGGAGAAGAAATAAAAACCATTTTTTTTTATATTTGGAACTGGTTTGCATTTTTTGTTCAAACCTAACGGTGTACTGGGCAGAATTAGGTACTTCTGGTGAATTCTAAAAAAGCTGAAAGATCTGTTTTTATAAATATGCATAATTGTTACGACGTTTCAAACAATTGTTAAAAATATTTGTCCATTTCCCGAATCGCCCGAAAAACCAGATATACACTATTGTTAACAAAGGTTTGAACTTCTAAAAACAGTTTTCAGACCTTGCCCTCAACCTACCACCCCGAAAGTTATTCAGGATTTAACACGCGAGAATGTTGTATTTAAAGTGATCACCATTTTTTTTTTGTCTATAACAATTATTTGCGCTTAAAATATTTCATTTATTTATTTTTTTTACAATTGAATTCGAGTTACTATCATCCAGTTTTTTATGAATAATATCTAATTGTTTAATATCTAATATCTAGTCTATACTGACCAAATAATAAACATGTAACGAGTTTCACTGCTAAGTTTAAAAAAATAATATATATATTATTAAATATTTTTATTATTACATAGATGTAACTTTCCCGTGGCTGACATGTCATTATGTATTATATGATCAGCTCATTTCATGATTACCATCATTCTACAGTTGACAAGTGCAAATAATACTTTTCAAAAACGAATAAAAAAACATGAACACGAATAAGCTAATTAAAAAATCAAATAATTTTTTTTCTATCTTAATTTCTTCATCCATGTCGCCACATTGTATATGTGTATTAGTATTTCCGCGTAAGTCATCGTGAAATCTTTTTTTGTATGTTCGTATGTTGTGGTTAATTTCTTACAATGTGAAAGTCTATATGTGAAGCAATGTTTCTAATCATGGAGCTCAAGTTATAGTCCTGAAAGTTTTTGACTGAAAAGTTTGTGGTTTCCTTATATAGATCATTTTGGAAGTTATACATATATATATATATATCTGTGAAGCTGTACATATAGGTTTAAGTGGATAAATGTAAGTGTTCAGTTTCTGTTTTAGGTTTATTTTTGAGCGTCTAGAATGAAATGAGTATAATAGTCGTAATCAAAGCGAATAAATAAAAAATGATCATAGTCATTCCAGACACGTCTTCGCGTGTTGAATTATAAACTGTCGGTGATTGCCATCTCTCATCCAGTTGCCCTTTAGTGGTCTCCTGATAGACATGTCAGCTGTGGCCATGTCGTTAATAAGTCCGATGTGACGTCCGTGTAGTTTGAGATAAAATCTGGAATAGAGATCACGTATGTATGTATATTTATATACTTTTAAAAACCAATGTTTTAGGAGTCCAGATTCTCTTTCAGTGCTTGATTCTGCCCATTACATGCATCATGCCCAAGTAAAAAGTGTGGATAAATTAACTCTAAGTATTAACAAAACAAACTTCTCTCATTCAACTATTACCTCATATTATAGTCATATTAATGCGACAATTGTATTAAAAATCGTTGAACATGAATTGAGAATCTCTATTAGTTGTTCCAATGACTAGCGCCTGGATTGATGGAGATACTAACCTACCTCGCCTGCACGTGAGGCAGAATTGAATATCTTTATCTCCTTGCGATAGACTGTTATTAAATTTTAATCTTACTTTGTATTATATATTATGTAAATATTTAATCTAACATAATAAAATATCGTATTTAATATAATATGGATTACGTTTCACTCCTATAGAAATAGTAAATCTCTATAATCAGCAACTTATCTGAATTGCTAAATTTAATGATTAAATTTATTTGAAAGGTTTTCATGCAGAAACATTAATTGTAGATTTCATATAAGCTGTTGTTTTTATAAATTTTAATTTTGAAGAAATATTTGCCTGCTTTCTCTAAATCTGCCTATCCTTGAATTTTAGAATTTATGCGAGTGTATCATATACACTGACAGGCAAAAAATTCCAGCCACTTGATTTTTTTATGTTTTCATCTAAAAATATTTCTGCCACTTGTAAAAAAAGTTGTATTTGTATATAATACATGGTATTTGTAGATAATACTTAGTATTTATGTAATTTTATTTATCTTTTATAATCAAAATGTGATTGGGTAAGAAGGATTAGAGAAAAAAAAATTGAAAAACGAACCATTATTATTCTCAAAGAAATTAATTACATCATCGTTTAGTAGCTCGTGTTTCCTCCTCTCGCCTTCACTACTTCTTGAAGACGCCTCGGCATACTTTCTACCAGTCGGGAAATGTCCCTTTGCTTGAGGATAGCCCATTCCTCCCGAAGAGCCCTTTAAAGGTCCTGCAGTGTATCAGGAAGTGTTACACGCGCTCTTATTCGTCTTCCGAGGTTATCCCATAAATACTCAATGGGGTTCGAATCTGGAGAATGTGCTGGCCAGGCTAAAACCTCAATATTGTTCTGTTGAAGGAACGTCTGCACTATGGGAGCGCGTTCCTCAAGAAGTGCTGAGACTCAAGAGTATTGATGACTGGCCACGGAGATTAAATACCTGTGTCAAGGCAAAAGGGGGACATTTAGGGTGATTCTTTTTTGTTTTACTCTCTATAGATGTACATTTTATTTTCTAATAAAGTTTTCATAAAAAATAATTTTTCTGTTGAAATCTGTATATATTTTCTTGTAACAACATTTATGACATGTATTTCCTGCTTCCTGCTTCCTGTTACCTGATCGACGACGATTAAAAAGAAAATGGCCAAGGGACCTACTCCTACAATAAATAAAATGAAGCTAATCGAGCAGATGTCGAACGCATCAAATTTGCTGGATGGGCTGTAGCACAGGTGCAAATGGTGTAAAGCGTATAAATAAATTTTTTTTAAATAAAATTTATATTACACAATAAAAGTGAAAAAATATATTGTATTAGAAAAAAATATATTTAACTCATAATATTTTTTTTTTAATTAAAAAAGATATTTATAGCTAGAGAAGTAAAATTAAAACAGTTGTTTTACAAACAAAAATATTACGTGAGTCTGAAAATTGTATTTATTTAATAAAATAAAACCGTTTTCTATTTAATTTTTGATATATTTTAATTTACTGGTTATTGACGATGAGGAGGAAAATGCATAATAAACAATCTGAATGTATAGACGAATAATAGATTATAGTAAGGTAACAATATTCTGATAAGTAAATGTGAACTACTTCTTGTTCCACATAAATGTGTAATAATTATTACATTTTATTAATATTTTTTCTTTAGTTTCAATGCTTTTGAGAAAAACCTTTAGATGTTAAAGCTCTATACATATACATGTATTTAAGGTAAGTAAATGTTTAATGAAGAATCTGTCCACACAAAACATTACATAATGAGATAGATATGAGATATTTCGTGTCACAATTTTTCTGCAGGAACACTATATTACGTGATTCAAAGAGATAAACAAAAAAGTACGTTGATTGATAGCAATCAATTAGTAGCATCATTAAATACTGAGCCATAATTTAATGTTGTTAAATTCGAAGTCTTTAATTATCTAGATGTCATAATTCCTAAGCACAAATATAATCCTAATTTGCCTAATTGAATCTAATAAAATGTTTCATGACCTTTACTTGCCGTTACTAAATTTAAACTAAAATCTAAGGCTTCAGAATTTGTTGATTTAAACGTGTTAATGTTTGTTGAAATTAATGCTAGTGAACGTTTTATTGCTTTGGGTTTTATTGCATCACATTATGCCCTATTAGAGCAGAGCTCAATTACAGTAAAGTCAATCAATATGAAAAACTATAGGCTAAAACTTTAACACGGTACCCTATTTTTTCCCCCAAGCCTTCCTCGCCTTTTAGGCTATACGGGGTTTTCCCCAGGTCAGGAGAGAGGGCAGGGAATCAAAGCAGAGTTAAAAGCCCCTCCGACATCGGGGCGCTAAATCGTTATTATTCTATCATATTACTTTCGCTCAATCTGAGTTTTGCACAAGCGTCAGGCAGCTCAGTAGCAGTTAGCAATTACTTGAAAAGCGTTGGTATAATATTTCAAGCATATTAGAGAAGAATTTAGAGATGACTGTTTTCCTTATATATATATATAAAAAACTTTGCTGAGAAAACTTGTATGTATATATGTATGGTGAATTTTCATCACCACTCACTAAGCATTGTGAGTAGGTAAAATTTTTTTTTTAATTTCTAATTTTTTTATTCATGAAATGTATTTCAGTGAAATGTATTTTATTTTCTAATTATCTTCAACACACTTC